TCCACCTCCCCCGCCACCACCTCCTCCACCACCGCCACCACCACCGCCTCCGCTCCCACCACCTCCGCCACCACCGCCTCCTCCGCCGCTTCCGCCGCCACCGCCACCACTCCCGCCACCACTCCCGCCACCCCCAGTCCCTCCGCCGCCTCCACCGCCACCCCCACCGCCCCCGCCAGCTCCACCCGCGCCCTTGCCCCCCTTGCTCTTGCCAGAGCGGCGTCTCCCGCTAGGGGCAGACGCCGCGCCAACCGACTCAAGGCCAAGCAGGTCGGCAGCAGCAGCAGAGGCAACAGAGGGCAGCAGGGGGGAAGGAGAACACCCCTCAAAGATGGGGGTGCGCGGGTCTCCACGAGAGGCTCCTACAGCGACTATACTCTTCTCCGCCGCTAGGAGGGCCTTCTCAAGGAGATCGACAGTGAGGGTGGTGGGACAGACTGAGAGGAAGTGGTCTCTGACTACGCGAAGGGAGTCAGGGAGACGAGTGACTATGTAATAGAGAGCGATGTACATAGGGGGGGGGTTCTTGGCGTAGAACTCAGCACGAAGGGCGGCGCGGTAGCGAGTGTCACTAGTGCGAAGGTGTGTAATGAGATCAGCGGCAGTAGGAAAGGCAGTGAGATCAGGAAAGAGGTACGGTAGCATGAGACGGCTCAGTGCAGCAGTGGCAGGGGAAGAGTAGCGCGCAACTACAGCGTCGTACAAGGTCTGAGCACTCTTGTACTGACTAAAGTGCGCGCGCTCAGTGGTGGGCAAGTGGCGACGCACAGCAAGACGTGCAGCAGCATCGCGGGTGGCCCACTGAGAGCAAACAGTCGGGTCAGCATCAGCAGCAGGAGCAGGAGAGGCGCCAGAGGTGAGGTCAAAGAGAGAAAGACCGTCCGCCCTATCGCACTGTAAAAACAACTGCAGGCCGTCGACCCAGACCTCAAAGTCAATGGCTCTGCCCTCAGCGTCAAAGGCTAGGACACTGGGGGTAGCCATGACGACAGACTAGCAGTGCAAGCAGTGGGGAAGGGCACACAGTAGCAGTAGGGCAGCGCTGTGCTCACCAGACAGGGCAGGTCGGGCGGCCCGGTAGCAGGGCGACTCGACGGCTGCAGGACGGCTAGGCGGCTCCTGGGCGGCTCGGCTGCTCCCGGGCGGCTCGGGTGCTGCTGGGCGGCTCGGCGGCTCCGGGCGGCTCGGCTGCTGGTGGGCGGCTCGGCTGCTGCTGGGCGGCTCAGCTGCTGCTGGGCGGCTCGGCTGATGCTGGGCGGCTCGGCTGCTGCTGGGCGGCTCGGCTGCTGCTGGGCGGCGCGGCTGAGGCCAGGCGGCTCGGCTGGTGCTGGGCCGCAGGTAGAGCGGCGGTAGGGCCGCGTAGGTGAGGGCGGCAGGGGCCGCGAAGGTAAGGGCGGCGGGGCCGCTCAGGTAAGGGCGGCGGGGCCGCGTAGGTTGGGGCGGCTGGGCCGCGAAGGTGAGGCGGCTGGGGGCCGCGTAGGTAAGGGCGGTGGGGCCGCTCAGGTGAGGGCGGCGAGGCCGCGTTGCTGAGGCGGCGGGGCCGCGACGTAGGGGCGGCTGGGCCGCGTAGGTGAGGGCGGCGTGGGGCCGCGTAGGTAAAGGGCGGCGGGGCCGCTCAAGTAAAGGGCGGCGGGGCCGCTCAGGTAAGGGCGGCGGGGTCGCAACGGTAAGGGCGGCGGGGGCCGCGTTGCTGAGGCGGCGGGGCCGTGTAGGTGAAGGGCGGCGGGGCCGCGTAGGTGAAGGGCGGCGGGGCCGCGTGGAAAGGGCGGCGGGGCCGCTAGAAAGGGGCGGCGGGGCCACGATCAAGGGGCGGCGGGGCCGCGATCAAGGAGGCGGCGGGGCCGCGATGAAGGGGCGGCGGGCCGCGATCAAAGGAGGCGGCGGGGCCGCGATCAAGGGAGGCGGCGGGGCCGCGAGGTAAGGGCGGCGGGGCCGCAAGAGTGAAGGGCGGCGTGGCCGCGATCGAAGGGTCAGCCGCTAGGGCGGCTCGGTGAGAGAGAAGCCCGAGGCGCGACTCGGAACGAGTGCGCTTCGGGCAGGAAAAAAAAAGGTGTGTGGTGGGCCCTAGGCGAAGTTCCCACAGGGGAACCTGCTCTATACCATGTGAAGTTGGAAGAACAGGAATGAAATGACTAAGGAAAGATTCGGTACAAATACAACCCTAGAAACATGTACCCCATATGTGCTACCCCACTATAGCCTACAACAGCTATGTCATGTAAATCTGACACTCGCCACTCGCTCTCAGCTCTGCCTTCGGATGAGTCCGTAGAGTCGAGTGGCCCGTACCCAGAGCTTGTTAGTTGCCTCATGTACCTGATGACCTGCACACGACCTGACCTTGCATACCCTCTTAGCATTCTCGCACGCTATGTTGCTCCTGGGAGACACAGACCGGAGCACATGGCTGCAGCGAAGAGGGTGTTGCGCTACTTGTGCAGTACGTCGGGCATGGGGCTTGTTCTTGGAGGGCGGAGTCCAGTGGTCTTCACTGGGCACGCAGACGCTTCTTGGGCTGACGACCAGGCTACGCAGCGGTCGTCACAGGGTTACACCTTCAGCCTTGGTTCCGGCTCTGTTTCGTGGCGGGCTACCCGCTCGTCTTCTGTTCTCGGCTCCAGTTGTGAGGCTGAGATCTACGCAGGAGCCATGGCTGCACAGGAGCTTCGCTGGCTCACCTACCTGCTGACCGACCTCGGAGAGCCGCCTCGTTCTCCTCCAGTTCTGTACGTAGACAACAAGGCCATGCTGGCCTTGTGTCGAGAGCAGAGACTGGAGCACAGAACAAAGCACATTGCTCTCCGCTACTTCCTTGCTCGTGAGCTACAGCAGCGTGGTTAGCTGCGACTTGCGTACGTGGCCTCTGAGGCCAACACTGCTGATATCTTCACCAAGGCACTTGCGCCTTGTGATCATCAGCGCTTCTGTACTCAGCTGGGTCTTGTGCCTGCCTTGCCTCACTTGCTCACCTCTTGACCTTGCTTGTACTGTTACATATATATATGTACATGCTCTTGTTTGTCTAGCCTTTTATTTATATATGTACTCCTGCATGTGAACTGGCCTTGTGGCCTTGAACTTGTGCTCGGAATGTGTGGTGACTTTGTGATCCATTCTGAGCTTGCTCTGCTTTGCTTTGCTTGACTGGTCCTGTGACCGCTTGTTCTCCCCCACTTTACCTATGAGGGTGTGTCAGAACATTATATAGCTTATACATTTGTGTAGGCTGTAGTGGGGTAGCCCATAAGGGGTTCAACCCAATTAGGGTTAGTACTTGTACCCAACTCTTTCATAGTTCAATCATTCTCGTTTCTTCTCAGGACTTAGCGAAGGATCGCTCAGGGTTGATCGCAGGGGTAGTGTTGAAGCGGAAGTTTGAAGCTCAGGTCAGAGTGAATGTAAATGACTGAGTTGATAATAGCATGCATACATCGAGTTCATATAAGAATACAGGGGAATACGAAAAGACCTAGACTAGCCATGTACTCTAAGGGGTACATTCCCTTATTACAGCAAATTCAAACCGTGCGGTGCGGGAACGTGTTTTGAACCTGTTCCCGCTCTTTTCATTTCAAATGTTTCTGTCTGCATCGGTCTTGGTCAGGCGGTTGCTGCGTCGCTTCGACTCTTCTGACTTCTCGACTTCGTACTCAGTAGAGTCGGCTCCTGCAGCATAGAGGAATGCCTTCTCACAAAACTTTATATCGTAACAAACTTTAGCATTCCCGTAGGTGCAGCTGTATCGCACCCGTCATTATCGAAGCAGCACTGCTAAGCAGTATCGGATCAGCTCGTATCAAGGGCAGGAAGGTCAACAGTCGCAATGGTCAACTGTCGTGACCATTGACCATCTGGACTGATTGACTCACGATCGAGGAATGGCAACAGTCGTAACCACCTGTAAGGTTACACGCAGCGACTCGGTAACAAACAAGAATAGCAATAGCAAGAGTCACTGTAGAACTGCCTAAAACAGTTACCGTAGAATAAGAGAATGTACCCCTTAGAGTACATGTCTAGCTAGATCTATTTATTGCTTGTGTTTTTATCTTTTGAACCAATCTTGTCATTTAAATTCACTATGCACAAGGTCCCTATCACAAGTCTTCCGCTACCAAACTTTTTAAGGCAATCATATTCTATCCAATATCCTTAGTCTAACAAATAATAGGGTGCCATTGTTAAGTGGAAGGTTTGGTGAGCATTCCTTATCCAACCGACCAAAGTAGAACGGCCGAAGTAGCGATGTGGGGGCGGATTTTCACAAATGTGTGCGATGTTGCAGTGTGCTTAGTCAGGCGAATTTGGTAACCCCACCAATGTCCCTATTGACCATGGTCTAAACGGCGAATTGCAAACAAGTTACACGCTCTAAAGGATAATGTTATGCACTTGTTGGAATTGCAATTACACATGATGCCCGACCAATGCACGCGAAATTGCCATGCACCGGATAGAAACGCTGCACCCGAGCTGGAAACCCCTGCTTGCTGCTCCCACAGTACAAGCACATGGGTGGCTGGCAACAATACACGCAGCTCAGCCATCAATGCACGTTCATTCCCGAACAAGCCACGCCAACCCACTTTTCCTTTGTTTCTAGGCCAGGAGTCAGATAGGCGAAATGAATGGACGAAACGACTATGGTTTCGTGAACGCATTCGCCCATCTGGGCCGCCACCTGAGCAAGGATCATCGTGCGTGTAACAGGCAGTTGGTCAGATTAACCCTGCCACGTGTATATCGGGACCTGCAAGGTACAAGCGCATTACCAGCCAGGCGTTGTTCGCCCGACCCACGTCAGACAATCGAGGGTGTGGTTACCAAACCAGTTGCTAAAAAATGCAAGCCAGGTGCATGGAACGAACACCAACCATATAAATGTGACATCCAACAAAGAACAGGCCCCAGTCTTGCCCAGCACGCCCGACCTGTGATGATAAAATGTGTGCAACTAATTCACTAAGTCACCTCTGTCTCTCACACCCCAATCGCACACAATGCCCCGCTTTAACCGACGGGAGCAGCTCCCGCTGCATATCAAGCGCGCTATTTGCGTGCACCACGTAGACAACCCCCGCCTGCGTCATGTCGACCTGGCGAGGTGGTGTTACTCGCAATACGGATTGCGCCCAGATCGTTCCACTGTCGGCCGCATCTTGAAGAGCGCTGAGCTATGGGATGTTACGGCAGGTGGCGACAACCAAATGCGACGTCGAGGTGGCGCATGGCCTGAGCTGGAGCAGGCCATGGCGCGGTGGATCGCAAACGCAGGGCCCGCTGGCGTGCCTCTGACGCTGCAGACCATCCGCGACCATGTCGCGACGATGGCACGGAACATGGGCATTCCGCCCACATTCCGATGCTCCATAGGCTGGGTGCGCCGTGCTTTGAGGCGCCAGGGAGTGAGGTGCCGGGCAGCACAAGGCGAGGCGGCTAGTGCGGACATGGCCGCCGTGCGCCACGCACGTGAGAAGCTGCCGCAACTCCTCACGCATCTCGGTGTCACCCCGCGGGACACGTTCAACATTGATGAGACGGCGCTCTGGCTGTCGGTCCTCCCTCGGCGCACGTACAGCAACGGTCGCATTCCGGGCCGCAAAATTTCGAAAGAGCGGCTCACCGTGGCATTCCTCGTCAATGCTGACGGGAGTCACGTCTTCCGACCGGCCGTTATCAGTAAGGCTAAGCGGCCGCACGACTTCCGCCCGGATTATGACCCGGAGTCCCTGTGCTACTGGCGGCACAACGCCAAAGGCTGGATGACCTCGCCGGTAAGGTCGTCGTTGTTCACGGTTTAACGGGTCCTTGATGCTTCGCAAGTATTACGCGTAATAGCTCACCTAACTGTAATGTGTTAACGATTTCAAAATTCTCATGTACATTCCGCCTTCCCTCCCGTTCCCCTACATGCAGTTATTCACGCATTTCATATCGCAGCTCAATGCTGCCATGTAAGCTGAAAATCGCAAGATTTTGGTGCTGCTCGACAACGCGAGCAGCCACATGCTCCGCTCACAGCTCGCGTGGAGCGAGATCGTCTGCGGGATGCGGACGACCTGCATGAGCAACGTGCGGCTCGTTTTCTTGCCGCCGAATACCACCGCATTCACACAACCGCTCGATCAGGGCATCATAGCCACCGTAAAAGCCCGCTACCGACAGCATTGGCTGCGGGCCTTCTCGGCCTTGTGGAACGGCGAGGGCGCGACTACCGCCGTCGCCCGTTTCCGCCCCAACTTGCGCGATGTCCTCGGACGCGTGGATGTCTGTCGGCGAGCGCACCATTCAACGGTGCTGGTGGCACACGGGGTGTCTGCCGCTGTCATGGTCCCTGGAGATGTCGCATGTACACGACGATGAGCCCACCCCTGCCGTCTACCCCGACATCGAGCTCGACGACGACATCGACGATGTCGGGACTCTCATCAGCGGGCTCGCACTCGGGAATACGGCGATGACGGCCGCAGAGTACGTCGCCATCGACGACGGCGAGCCGACGAGCGCCGAGGGCGCTGAGGGACAGCCTGCGAATGAGCCGGAGTCGGGCGTAGACGCCGAGCTCTGGCAGGCGCCGACTACCGTTCCCGCCGTCTACGACGACGCCGACCCCGTGTGCCGCGAAGCGCGGCGCACTGCCCGGGCGGCATGCGAGATGCTTATAGGATACGCACGGGCCACCCGCATCACGCCGCGCGATCTGTGCCATCTATTCGATATACGCAACCCCATTATAATCGCGTGGATGGAGCGGGCTAGCCCGTCGATCAACCTCAACGTGGCGCCTCAGCCCGTACCCTCCCTGGGCGCAACTCCCACGCCCGAGACCCATCGTCCGCGCGGGCGTGTGCTGCCCGACTGAATGACCCGCCCGTCTCGCCGTCAGGAGCTGTTTGACGCCGGTGTGGGCGCCGTGATGGACGGGTATGTGGACGCGGCTGAGTGGATGCGTATGTGAGGGTGGGGGTGGAGCAGACTTCGCAAGGTGTCGAATGTATTTTGATGAGAGCCCAAGTGTTCACTCCTTAAGCACATTTGTGTGTGTTTCGTTTTGTGTGTTGAATGGAGATGAGCTCCCAGGTGGAGGATGTTGATTGGAAGGTGTTCGTGTTTTACCTGTTTTGTACTACGAAGAACAATTGTTGCACATGCTTCTTTCGGTACTGTAGCGTTCGTTTACTAACCATAAACACACAACATGGACAAGTGCTGCAACCCCTTGCTGTTGCTAATGAGACAAACAAGGTGGTTACCATGATCAGTTTTGAAGCACGCTGGACGCCTGACGAAATTCACGAATGCCCGCGAAATGCAGGTTTAGCTTACAGTCCCAGTTCACAAGGCAACCGGGAGGGGCTCTCACGAGCATCAGGTGTACAGAGTCGAAGTTAGCAGTTGATTCTACAGCGGCACTGCTGCAAGACAGTTTTTCCTCGGGTTTGTAGTTTGAGGTGTTCCCTGTGATACAGAAACTGCATCTTGCGACAACTTTGTCCCTGCTGATGATGAACAACATTGTCGTCAGGCTCGACAGAGTGATTTGACGTTTGGTTTGCAGTATTCCGAACAATTTGAAGTTCTAGGGCGCACCCGAAACAATGAATTTCGAAAAGGGTTGCGACCCTTCCGTTTCCCATTCTAGTGAAGCAGTTGAAGCAAGTGTTTCAGTGAAGCAGTTTGAAGTGACTGTCAGATGGTGTGTCGAATCGTTCCCACCACCTTTCTTCGTGTTTAGGTTTTATGGTAGCCCAACAGTCGCCTGCACTACCAGCACCAGCAATGTTATTTTCCGCAATCAAGTTCAGAGTTGGATTCGTTGTTCCTTCAGTTTCCAGTATGGTCACACCTTGAAGATGAGTGCTGACAAGATGATTCTCCAGGAGAAATCTGATCACTCTTCTCGTGAAGAGGTTGAGACCGACAAGGAGCACATGTCCACTGAGGGGCGTGGTAAATCACGCTCCCCAGTGAAACGCAAGTCTCGCGTGCTTAGTAGTTTGACCCGCGATGACATTGTGAGGGTAAGTATTTTGTTCGATGGTTCTGCCGTGCTAATGCCACCCATATACTAACGACTCCGCTTTTGTGTGCAGCTCTTTGACTTCCCAATCGAGACAGCCGCCAGATTAGTTGGGGTTGGAGAAACTGCATTGAAACGAAGATGTAGGGAACTCGGCATCGTAAGGTGGAAGCACCGGACTCTGATGGGCTTTAGAAACATTGCGAGCTCACTGCAGGTGTGGCTTGGTTACTATATTTGCGTGAATTACTCGCGAGCAGATCTCTAATCACCGCGTTTCGTCTACCGCCAGATCCCGTCCGAGGAGTTGACGCGGTGTTTTGAAGAAGACCCAAACTTAGAGCTGGGAGCTAATCTTTGTAAAGTTCGACAAAAGGTCTACAAGGAACGACACCAGTCCAAGATCTGTGTGGTATGCGAAAAACGCACAGTCTTGTTCCATCTTGTGTATTCCTTTTTCTCACTAGCACCTCTATCTCTTCCTCTCTTTCTCCTTTCCCCCCCCCTCTCTCTCTCTCTCTTTCTCCCTCTCTCTCTCTCTCTCTCTCTCTCTCTCTCTCTCTCTCTCTCTCTCTCCCTCTCTCCCTTCTTTCTTCCTCTCACTCTCCGTCTCCATCTCTCCCTCCCAACCCCGCTCCCTCTCCCGCTCCCCACCCACTCCCGCTCCCACTCCCTCTATCATTTACTCTCCCACTCCCTATCCCACTTCCTCTCTCGCTCCCTCTCCCACTCCCTCTCTCGCTCCCTCTCCCACTCCCGCTGTCCCTCCCTCTCCCACTCCCGCTGTCCCTCCCTCTCCCACTCCCGCTGTCCCTCCCTCTCCCACTCCCGCTGTCCCTCCCTCTCCCACTCCCGCTGTCCCTCCCTCTCCCACTCCCGATGTCCCTCCCTCTCCCTCTCCCTCTGTCGCTCCCTCTCCCTCTCCCTCTGTCGCTCCCTCTCCCTCTCCCTCTGTCGCTCCCTCTCCCTCTCCCTCTGTCGCTCCCTCTCCCTCTCCCTCTGTCGCTCCCTCTCCCTCTCCCTCTCCATCTCCTCCCTCTCCCTCTCCATCTCCCTCTCCCCGTCCCTCCTCTTCTTTTTCACCTCCCCTCCCGACCCCTATCCTTTCCTTTCTTGCACTTACTCTTGTCCAATTTCTTGATTTTTTTTAGTCCCTTCCGCTTATTCCGTTGTACTTCCGTATCTCTGCATCTTGTGCTGCCTTTTGTCTGTTTCTGACAAAACTTGATAGTTGTAGTGTTGAACCTATAATCATTGCCCCCCTTCTTCCCTCCCCCCTTCCCCCCCCCCCTCCCCCCCCCCCTGACACCCTCTCCCCCGACCTTTTTTTGTTGTTTTTTTTTTTTTAGGTTGGCCGGGCAGTGAATAGTTCTCAAGGAGAACGTCCAGAGACCAACGTTCCCCAAGAATCATGTCGGGAATGACCATATTGGGCTGTGTTTGTTTTGATGAAGCTTGCTCATTGTTGAGCTAAGATACTATATCCCCTTGGATACACGCCATTAGGGGCTTGTAGGGACTCAAGTGGAAAAGTGGGGGAAGAACGGCGGTGGTAGGAGAGGTGGATTAATTTAATTAAGTAAATAACTTCGGAAAAAACTTGAATCAAATTGTAGATAATAAATTATGATATTCTTGAATGCTTGTAGTAGTATAAAATTGAAGTACCCTAAAGCAATGATGCACTTTCCTAGGGGTTGTTTTTGGGGGCATTTTGAGTGCACACCCTTTGAGGGATGCTGATTCGACAGCAAAGTGGCAAGGTTACGGAAGGCTAGTGCGAGGAATTCAAATAGGCTAGCGATGCCAACCACTTTCATTCAGAACCCAGGTTGGGTTGGGGAATACACTGCGGAAGGGCGGAAACCAAGTGTATGGCGCAACCAACCAAACAATTGATAAGGTTTGCGTCGGGGTATATATGTACCGGTACATATGCGTGGGTCGACCAGGGCCTGTGCTAGGATTTAGGGCATCCTGAGCCCTCAGGGTAACTTTTGAAAAATCTCTGAAATGCCCTGATTTTTCAGGGCAAAATTCCCTGGCCATCCTGAAATTTCAGGGCACCAGCAGAAATTCATCTGGATGAGTCAGGGCAAAAAATACAAGGCACTAAAGAGGATGGAGGGGAAGGCATGAAAGGAGCAGGTTGTTCACTGGTATTTAGAAAGCTTGCTTTCTTACCGTATGGCCCCGGATATAGGCGCCGTCCGATTAAAGGCGCCGGCGCTTCTATCTGGAGCATGGCGCCTATGGCCGGAATTCGATTACCGTATGGCCCCGGATATAGGCGCCGTCCGATTAAAGGCGCCGGCGCTTCTATCTGGAGCATGGCGCCTATGGCCGGAATTCGATTATAAGCGCCCCCCCTAGAAGACCTTTACTTATTATAAGCGCATATGCGATTTGAATTTAAATTCTTGCCTAAAACAGTAACGAAATCCATTTTTGCAGCGAGTCAGATTTCAATTTCGCTTCGTTTGACTCGTGAAGACCTGACTGGCTGCGCGTCCAGTCAGGATGTGCTGGAATGACGTGGCTTTGCCTGTGTGTGAACCCAGAATATCGCTTGTGCGAGATTCTGCATTGTGACGCTAAAACATTTCGACTCGGTCGAAATGGCAAGAAGAAAATGAACAATTTGGTGCTCTAAAATTATAATTTCGTATTTGTCATTATATAAGCGCCGGCGCTTATTGCCAGAATGTTATATTTGTTATCTAGCCTGCAGTGGGGTACTCTATAGCGAGTATAACCCTTTAGGGTTTCATATATGTATCCCCTTGCTTGCTAGTACAAACCCCCTCTCTTCTTTCCTAAACCTTTCTTGCTTAGCTAGGTTAGTCCTAGCTATGGCTTCTACTTTCAACTACCTACTTTCACACTTATGGCCGTTACTCAATTACAAGCGCCCCCCCTCAAAAAAATGATATTATTATAAGCGCATATTGTGAGAATAAGCGAACAGGAATGAGTGAACTAGCAGTGAAAATGAGTACAAGTAGGAAACCCTAGAATTGTGTACCCCCTATAGGCTAACCCACTGTAGCCTACACAAGCAGAACATATATAATGTTTGACACACCCCCATAGGCAAAGTGGGGGAGAACAAGGGGTCACAAGACCAGTCAAGCAAAGCAAAGCAAGCTCAGGGTGGATCACAAAGTCACCACACAGTCCGAGCACAAGAGCAGGGCCAGAGGCCAGTTCACATGCAGGAGTACAGACATATATATAAAACTAGACAAGCAAGAGCAGGTATATATATATGTCACAGTACAAGTGAAGTCAAGAGGAGAGCAAATGAGGCAAGACAGGCACAAGACCCAGCTGGGTGCAAAAGCGCTGATGGTCACAAGGCGTGAGTGCCTTGGTGAACACATCAGCAGTGTTGGCCTCAGAGGCCACGTACGCAAGTCGCAACTGACCACGCTGCTGCAGCTCACGAGCAAGGAAGTAGCGGAGAGCAATGTGCTTCGTTCTGTGCTCCAAGCGCTGCTCTCGACACAAGGCCAGCATGGCCTTGTTGTCTACGTACAGCACTGGAGGAGAACGAGGTGGCTCTCCAAGGTCAGTCAGCAGGTAGGTGAGCCAGCGAAGCTCCTGTGCAGCCATGGCCCCGGCGTAGATCTCAGCCTCACAACTGGAGCCGAGAACCGAAGACGAGCGAGTAGACCGCCACGAGACAGAGCCGGAACCAAGGCTGAAGGTGTAACCCTGTGACGACCGCTGCGTAGCCTGGTCGTCAGCCCAAGAAGCGTCCGCGTGGCCGGTAAGGACCACTGGACTCCGCCCTCCAAGCACTAGCCCCATGCCCGACGTACTGCACAGGTAGCGCAATACCCTCTTCGCTGCAGCCATGTGCTCTGGTCTGTGTCTCCCAGGAGCAACATAGCGTGCAAGAATGCTCAGAGGGTATGCAAGGTCAGGTCGTGTGCAGGTCATCAGGTACATGAGGCAGCCAACAAGCTCTGCATACGGACCACTCGACTCTACGGACTCATCCGAAGGCAGAGCTGAGAGTGAGTGGCGAGTAGGCAGAGGAGTGGCCTGAGGCGAGGAGTACGTGAAGCCAAAGCGCTGAAGGACCTGCTGCACCATGTGTGACTGAGTCAAGGTAATGGTGCGGCGTGCTCTGTCCCGAGTGATCTGCAAGCCAAGGTAGCTGCGCAGTTCACCCAGGTCTGTGCACGTGTGTCTCTTCAGTAGTTCGGACTTCACGTAGGCGAGTCCAGCAGTGTCAGCTGTGGCAAAGACCAAGTCGTCGACGTACACGAGGATGTAGAACGGCGGCAGTGAAGTGTCGGTGCGCAGAAACAGCGACGGGTCAGCAGTAGAAGGAGCAAACCCAAGAGCCGCAAGCGTAGTCCTGAGTGTGTCGTGCCACTCACGCGGTGCCTGGCGGAGACCGTAGACTGGCCGTCGGAGGCTCCACTGGGTGCCAGGAGGGAAAGTCCCAGTGAAGCCAGGTGGACGGCGCAGCCAGATCTCCTCGTGCAGGCTACCCTGCAGGAACGCAGTGCTGAAGTCGAGATAGTGAAGCTCGTAGTCGCGCTGAGCGGCTATGTGCAGCAGCACCCGAAGAGTGGTCATCTTCGGGGTGGGAGAGAAGGTCTGAAAGTAGTCAACTCCCTGCCGCTGACTGAAGCCACGAGCAACGTACCGCGCCTTGAAGACAGGTGGAGAGCCCGGCGGCCGCTTCACCCTGAAGATCCACATGCCACTGACGATGTTCGCCCCAGGAGGGGGAACCGCGTCAACGTAGGTGCCTGTGGACTTCCAGGAAGCCATCTCTGCATCCATAGCTGCCTGCCACTGAGAGGAGTAGGGACCCTCTACGGCGTCCGCGTAAGAACGCGGAGTCGGGATGTCTAGTGCATCCGGGTCTCCCTCAGGGGCAAGCAGTACAGACGCGAGATGAGGTGAAGCAGCCGCTAGACACTGTAACTCCTCCTGCCTGTCCTCTAGGACGTCCGTGCCAAGAGCACACTCACCCCCGACGGACGGAGGACAGACAGACGCAGACTCAGCAACAAGACTAGCAGCGTAGTCGAGACGACAGCGAGCAGCAAAGTCAACGAGCTCAGCGACTAGAGCAGACGCAGCAGTGGACTCAAAAGAGGGGTCAGTGACGACAGTAGCAAGCAGACGCGTGACAGTAGGACTGGCAGCGCGAAGAGAGTCCGACTCAGGGTCGGCAAGCGCAGGAAGAGAGGACTCAGGAGGAGAAGGCAAAGGGGCACGCAAAGGAGCAGTGGACGGACGCAGAGACATCCGGTGCGTGCCAGGGACAGGAGGAGGACGCTGACGCGAACCGCGACCACTAGCGCGAGCAGCACGAACCGGCGACGCGGGACGAGACGCAGGCTCACGACGCTCAGCAAGACCTCCAGTAGGACCAGTGTAAGGAGAGGGAGCAGGCAGAGGAGAGGAAGGCTCCAACAGTGACTGCGACTGGACATGCTGTGGACACTCTACCGAAGGAGAAAGACTAAGAACCTGCTGTAGGAGCGGAACGAAGTACGGCCGAGGCCGCGCGGCAGCTCCAGACTCAGCAGGGACAGCACCAGCACCCTCAGCGACAGCACCAGCGCCACCAACACCTCCAGCGGCAGGACCTCCAGCAGCACCAGCAGCAGAACCACCGCCAGGAGAGACAGCAGTAGTCTCAGCACCAACACCCTCAGCAGCTCCAGCTCCAGTAGGACCCGCAGGCCCAGCAGCTCCGGGACCGGCAGCACCAGCACCCTCGACGGTCGACGAAGCTCCAGCTCCAGCAGCACTCCTCCAGCGGCGAGCAAACCACTCGCGCAGCTCCTATGGAGAGAGGGGCTCCCGGCGAGACGCAGCAGCAGGAGAAACCCCAGGCTCAGCAGCTCCAGACTCAGCACCCCCAGGCACAGCAGCTCCAGACGTAGCACCCCCAGGCTCAGCAGCTCCAGACCCAGCACCTCCAGGCTCAGCAGCTCCAGACTCAGCACCCCCAGACTCAGTAGCTCCAGCTCTAGTAGAACCCGCAGGCCGAGCAGCTCCGGGACCGGCAGCACCCTCAGCAGGCGAAGAAGCTCCAGCTCCAGCAGCACGCCTCCAGCGGCGAGCAAACCACTCGCGCAGCTCCTGTGGAGAGAGCGGCTCCCGCCGAGACGGAAGAACCGGAGAGCCCCCAGGTCCAGCAGGCGCAGGCTCCGCACCTCCAGGCCCAGCACCCCCAGGCTCAGCAGCTCCTGACGTAGCACCCTCCGGCTCAGCACCTCCCGGCTCAGCACCCCAAGACTCAGCACCCCCCGGCCTCGCACCCCCAGGCTCAGCACCCCCAGGCTCAGCACCCCCAGCAGCAGCACCCCCAGGCTCAGCACCCGCAGCAGGACCAAACTCAGCAGCAACCTCGACTGGCTCGACCGTGTCTACCTGGGACACACCAGAA